GGTCTCTTCTTAAGGGTTGTGTTTCTGAGTTTCTATACTTGCAAGCAGTGTCATATATGGATGCCCTGTGCCTCTTACTTATCATGAACAACCTCCTCTTGGCTGCTTTCACAAAAAGTAACTGTCCTGGCCAGACTCTTGTCCCAGCCCTGGGCAGCTGCTCTGCATGTGTCTTTCTGCAAAAGCAGGCTGCTGTGCAGGGACACCCAAGCAGCCCTTTAGGTCACACGGTACTTGTGGCAGTGGCACCCAAGTGCTTCTGGGACAATACAGGGGCTGTACTTACTGTGTGGTTGAAAGCTATATGCAACCTGTGAATCTATAGAGGACACTTTTTCCAGAGCCATTTTGTCTGCCCTGCTTGATGCTTGTTGTTTTTGCTCACGCCCAACTCTGACTCTGACCCTACATGTCTCAGCATCACTTTCCAGTTTCCTTTGCTGAAGCTCTGAATCCAGCCACTTTCATGCCCATGTGGAGTCTCCTTGCCTCCACTGACTATGGAATGACCTGCGGACAGTGAAGCTGCACGGTTGCAGGATCAGGCCCTTTACTTTAGTAAGCAATGTATTGAAGTTTTCCTGATGTGTAACGGGACTGACAGTTGACTGCCAAAGTTATGACACCACACAACATTTTGTCACTTCCAGGGATAAATATCACTTCCATTTATGTTAACTATTGCTTTCTGCATTTGAAGGTAAAAGCAGAGAATAGCGGTCAGGGCTTGTTCTGTTATTGTGGATATGCCAAACCATGTTGAAAATTCCTGAAGAAGCTGTCTGCCTTTCATTTCCCAGATAATCACACGCATTCTAGTCCTTGCTGAGAACTGAAGTGACAGAAGAAGCAGCAGTGGTCTCCCAGCGAGTGCTGCTGCCTGAGCAGTAGGAGATATCCCACAGCTTGGGAGGTGTTCCACTGAGCCCATCAATTCCAGGCTGGAATGCTGAAAAACCACAGCCTTATGTTGCCTAACACCCCACAACTGCAATGGAACACCAGGGTGGGCTCAGCAGTGTCAGGAATTGCACTGGCCTGCTGGGCTGCCCCTGCATGGAGCCCAGTGCTTCGGGCACGGCTCCCTCCCAGCTCAGTCACAGCCAAAGGGATTAATGAGCAGGGATTGCTTTGTCGAAGGGATTTTCCTGTAATGAGTTCATGAGAAAGAGTTGAAAAGTGATTTGTCACAACAATCCAGCACTGGAGTGTAAGTGCATGCAATCCTATTGCCAAATTTCCTCACTTGTACCTATGAAGAGTGAAAGAACAAGTCAAATACAACGGAAAAGGTTTCTATTTCAAATATTTGAGCTGTGCCAGCTGATTCTGAGGATGAATTCAGGCAACAATGTGTTTTCAAATCATAACCCTCCTCAGTTACCTTGAATTGCTTTCTGGTTTTTTGTAAACGGAATATGCTCTCTGTGGGATAACTAAATGAATTTGTACAAAGCTAAGAAAGAAATGATTTTATGAAATAATCCTCCCTCTCAAAAATTCTTGCTTAACATATAAATTAAACCTTCAAGGAAACTGAATGAAAGTGCTCTGTTACTCAGGCAAGATGAAGGCAGCATTTGAACAGCTATTTGTTTTTTAAATTTGGAGATAATGGCTTTTGCAATAAGGATATGTTTCCCCTAACACCCTTGCTCCTCAGATTGGAACTGGCAGTTCAGAGGAACTTATATGGCTTGAAAGCAGTGCTTGATCAAATTGCTTGAATTCTTTCTGGCTTTTTTGTGAAATTTTGTTTCACTACATCACTGAAATATGGCCACTGGGGTGTAATGGTGTCTCAGACTGCATCCTCACCTCACTACTTTTGCATCTTCTGCTACTTGGACATTCTTCTCTATATGGACGTTTCTTCAATTCTAAGTGAAAAAGAACGAAAAGAGGTTAGATGTTACAAAGTCCAAACAACTTAGAATCATAGAATGGCCTGGGTTGAAAAGGACCACAATGATCATCTGGTTTCAACCCTTTGCTATGTGCAGGGTCACCAACCAACAGACCAAGTGCCCAGAGCCACATCCAGCCTGGCCTTGAATGCCTCCAGGCACAGCCTCCTTGGGCAACCTGTTCCAGTGTGTCACCATCCTCTGTGTGAAAAACCTCCTCCTAATATCTAACCTAAACCTCCCCTGTCTCCATTTAAAACCATTCCCCCTTGTCCTATCACTATCTACCTTTGTAAACAGCCATTCTCACTCCTGTCCACATGCTCCCTTCAGGTACTGGAAAGCAGCAATGAGGTTTTCCTGGAGCCTTCTCTTCTCCAAGCTAAGCCATCTCAGTTTCCTCAACCTTTCCTCATAGGAGAGGTGCTCCAGCCCTCCTCTGGACCCGCTCCAAGATCTCCACATCCTTCCTGTACTGGGGGCCCCAGACCTGGACGCAGCACTCCAGATGGGGCCTCACAGGAGCTGAGTAGAGGGGGACAATCACCTCCCTCTCCCTGCTGGCCACCCCTTCTTTAATGCAGCCCAGAACACAGGTGGCCTTCTGGGCTGCAAGCATGCACTGCTTGCTCATGTCTAGCTTCTCATCCACCAGGATCCCCAAGTCCTTCTGCACAGGGCTGCTCTCAAGGTGTTCTTCTCCCAGTCTGTAACAAAGCGGAACTCCAGCTGCTCACAACAGCTTTGGTCTCACAGCACCCTCACTTAGCTTCTCGCTCAGCACAGGCTGCTAAAGCCCAGCTCTGGCCAGGGAGTACTCAATCTGTGAGCCCTATTCCCTCTCTTTGCATTTCCCCCTTGATTATGGGAACCAGCTCCCTGCATGGTTGCTGTTGCGACAAGAAGTACCACAAAGGGTTTAGAGGTTTTTTCACCCCAGCATCCCTCGGGGTGAAAATGCAGTCACACAACAAAAAGTAAATTAAAGAGCGGATCTACTTCATTGTGCCGGAGAATGTAAACATTTTAGTCTCATTACAGTGTGTAATAAAGTGTTCTTTTATTAAAATGCGTGCTGGGTAATTATAATCCTTGAATACGTAAGTTGGAAAGGCAAGAGCAAGGTTTAAAGATAAAAGAATGCGAGTAGGAAGGAAACCATGCTCAGCAATACGGTGCACCGAGGACAAGAGAAAGGAAATCTTAAGCATCGCCGCCGCTCCACAGCGGGTGGAGGCCGGGGAAGCCCAGCAGGCAGCCGCTTCCCGCCGCCGCTCTTCCCAGCGCCGCCACCAGAGGACCCCGCTGCCGCCGGGGGACGCGGCGGGGGCGTGGGCAGAGGCGGAGCAGCACCGGGGAAGCCGCCCCCGGCAGAGCGCTGCGGGGGCTCGGCCCGGCCCGGCCCGGGAGGTTCTGTTGAAGCCGGGGTGCGGTGCTTGTTCCTCACCTCTTCCTCCCGCAACACCGCTGTTCCTGCGGGCCGCTCGCATCGGCAAGCCCGGGGTGCGTGTAACGGGGCTGCGGGTACCCCCGGTTAACCCCGGGCAGAGGGAATAGCTGCTGTATCATCTGATAAAAAGAAGTTTTAGCTGAAAAACGCCCTGGGGTGTAGGTCTGGGAATTGCCTGGCTCGCAGCGGATTTTCCCTAAGCTATCTCGTTCCTTCAATAAATAACTGCGGGAACAGAGATCGCTCCCCAGCGAGCGTTTCTAGGCATCGTGCGGAAGCTGTGCTAAAAGCAAATCGCCTCCATCCAGCAGAACTTTTTGTTTAATGTAATATCATAATTAAAAGCAAATCCCCCGGAACTTGGAAATGATGCCTAACGGGATAGGAAGCAAAGACTGATGCCCCTGAGATTTCGAGTCCCAGTGAGCCGCCCGCCCACAGCACCGTAGCAGGGCTGCTCCCAGATCGCTGTAACCAGGCTGGATGTGGCTCTGGGCAGCCTGGTCTGGTGGTTGGCGACCCTGCACATAGCAGGGGGGTTGAAACTAGATAATCACTGTAGTCCTTTTCAACCCAGGCCATTCTCTGATTCTATGATTCTGTGAACCCCGGTGGCACTTTGTCATCTCCCAGTCTGACAGTGAAGGGGAATCTCTCGTATTACCCCGCACCCAGAGAGGTCAAGCCGCCAAAAATCACATCCTCGTTGTTCGAAGCAGAGCGGAAAGACACAACATGTCCAGAACCAAACTATTTTTTGCCCTGAACACAGTTCGCTGCAATCACAGCAGAAAATCCTAATTTATCCCAACGATCCCAATATAAATCCGCGCAGTCCGATCGCCCGCAAGTCCGAGTGTACGTTCTATCTTAAAAATACACGTCTGCGTGCATCTGTATCTCTGCATCTCACGGTGCACGCAAACTTCTCCATACACACGTCCACACGGAGCCTTACACCAACGCGCTGCGCAGCGGCTCTGCCTGGGGAAAGCTGTGCGGGAACAGCACCGCCCGCTCGTCCCCGCCCCGCCCGGCGCAGCGGGATGCCCGCGGGGCCGGCCCATCTCCCCACGGCTTCCCCGGCACCCTGGGGACCGAGGGAGAGCGGGGGCACCGCACATTGCCGGGGCCGGGGCGGGAGGCGGCCCCGCTGCCGAGGAGGCAGGTACCTGTTGGGCAGGGCGGGGCGGGCTGCGGCCGCCGCTCGGTGACGGGGTGGCTGCGCCCCTTCCCCGCCCCAGCCCCGCGGCCCGGCGGGGCCCGGGCTCGGCAGCCCGGGGGGTACGGCCAGCGGCAGCCGGGCATCGCGAGGGGCCGCCCCGCTGCCGGCTGCGGGAAGCGGCTCTTGGCGGAGCGCAGAGCTGCACCTGGCCCGGAGGGTCCCCGCCGGGGTTTCCCCTCAGCCCGCTTCTTTGCCTTTTTTTTTTTTTTTTTTTTTTTTTTTTTTTCCTCTCCCTACTTCCCCCCTCCCTTTCCCGGAGCATTGCGAACGGGGGTATTTTCTTCGGGGTATAAAGCTGAGAATAGACGGGAGGAGAGCCTCAGAGCTTCACCTCGTTTCCTCATCCCCTCTCGCATGCGAACCTCCTGCAACATCTCCTTCCTCCTGCTCCTCTCACCTGGCCGCCTCTGCCCAGATCATGTCCGCTAAGCTCCTGCTGGTTTTCTTCCTCCTCTCAGTGTTCCACGCCCGGTAAGTCCGCTCCCTTTTCCTCCCGCACCCCTCCGGCTCCTTTCCTCTCCGCGCCCGCGGCTGTCCGGAGTTCTCCGGGCTCTCCCCGCTCCGCTCTCCCCTCCACCGCGGGCCGCTCGCCAGCGCTCCGTCCCGATCCGGCCCGGCACAAAGTTTTCCCTCCTCGAGCCGCCGCTCCCCCGCTTCTCAACCCCGGGGCCGGGCTGAGGCGGGCGAGCCCCGCTACTAGGTGGCCGTTACCCGCCGCTCTCGGGATTTTCCAGCTGTACATCTCTGCGGCTTGCACTTTGCCGCTGGTGTCTCCTCGCAGCATCAGAATTAGTGGTCCCTGAAGAGGAGAGTGCAGCTCTTCTCCCTTCCCAGCTGGGAATTGGTCCCCCATCATCCCGCGCTTCTTGCTGTGGGCAATGGGAATGTGCGGGGAGTTTCGCGGTGCCCGTATGGCTACAGGGGACTTGTCAGCCCCAGATGCCTTCCAAGGAGCCTCGTGGTGTGGAAGCAAAAGCAAGGGAAGTGGAACTCTTAAGCAGGAGCACCAAACACCGTGAAAAAAGCCTGTTTGAGGTCTTAGTCTGATTCACTGTGAAACCTCTCCCACCTGCAGCCTTGATCTATAGAGGAGGCAGGTAGGAATTTGCATCATTTGGAGGTGCTCTCTAGGAAGTGCCAGCACTAGGGGTTTAAAAGCCCTGTTAGAACTCGGCTGTACTGGTGACAGGTTTTAATGGAGCTGCTCCCGCAAATGGGAATTGTGATCCGATGTGAACTCGGTTCTCATTTTCACATACAGCCTGAATGCCTCCAGCAAAGTTGTGATGGGTGCAGCAGGCAAAAAGAGATGATCCTGAGCTCCTTTTCTATCAGTAATTCAGCACCGTTGCGGTGTTTCAGCTGAAGAACATCAACCATGTGTGCTAGGAGATGATGCCTCCTCTGAGAACGGTTCTGTAATTGCAATGTTAAAACATATGGTTTGCCTTGAACCTGGGGGAGAAAGGAAAAAACAAAACAAAGGGTCCTTTAGGGTCTTTAATGTCCATTGGGTGAACAAATAAAGGAGTGCTCATCTACTTAAAAATGTCCTCAAGTTTTCTGTACTTCTGGCACTTGATTATACGAGCTCTCTCTGTGGAAAGTCAGTAAAATCTAGATTTCAAAAATTATTTTCATATAGAAATTATACTTAGACACCTGCAATTTATGAAGTCATATTAGGTGATTCATGGCTAATCCTGCAAGGCATGTTGGCTGTAGAACAGTTTCAATTAAAAGTTTTGTTGAAGGCTCAAATATAGTGGGTCTATAGTGGCAATGTTGCAGGTTGATGATGCTCTGTGGTGCATTTGTTGGCCTTTTTTTCCATTACTATAGGATGTCTATCAAATCTTCTTGACACCTGAGGTATTGTAAGAGACAGTGGTGTTATTAAGGGGAGAGACTGAGAGAGAGAGATAAAAGAGGTTGCTTTGATGGACATAGCACATCCCATTAATAGACAGTGCTGATACCTCTGAGTGCTGCTTTGCACCTTGCATAATTACTGACATTGGTGTGAAAATGCTGCAAAATGATATCACATTGCCAGGGCAATTGCAGGTCCAAGCAGTGGATGATTACTGCTGTGGGTTCCACCACAGAGGTTATCTTTTCTCCTGATAACTTCATCTCAGTTTAACTGTCATGGATTTCCTCCAGCAAGAGACAGATCAAACAGATTTGGTTCCTAAGATACCAAAAGATACATCTCCAAATCAACATTTTACTGTTCATGCACAAAGAGCTGCTCAATGAAATTAGTCTCATGTGAAAATAGCTTCAGCTGTAATTTCTGGGCAACTGTACTTTTACCACGTTTGCACTGCCGTACTTTGAAAATAAAAATAATACCACCTGTGAAGGAGAGTCTCAGTGTTTGGTGTAGTGCTGTTTTGTTTTTTGTTGTTTTTTTTTTTAAATGTCATTGAAATCACAAGGAGACTCTGGAATTCCAATTAATTTACAAAATGTATTTGTGCACTTGTGATAATCCATCTTATATGCAAGGAGAAAGCTCTTAATTTTAAGCCTTGTAATACATTAAACTGAGAGTCGAGCACTGAGAATATAATAATTTATTAATAGGATAAAATGATCAGGACGTATTAAAAGATCTGAATTTTTAATACTCTTATTAGCCTATGTGCAAGAGACGGATCCGTTTTCTTGATGGATTCATGAAGTAATACTGTGAATGTTTGCTCTTTGAAAGAATATATTGTAAATGTACTGGGTAAATATGCAGTCAGGATAGGTTGGTGTAAAATGCTAAGGTACAAAATACTAGAGAGTAAAAAATTATTCTGACAGCTGCAGTAACTCACAGGTAACAGCTTCTTCGGAGTCTGGCAGAAGACCACATCCAAATAATTGTCAGTTCTGACCCATTCTCAGATACCTAGCAGATGTTAATTGGAATGTCCTGTTGTAAAAACAGCTTAAGGCTGAGTATATAGACACAGTTGAGGGAAAGATCAAAAACTTAAGAAGACTGTGCAGATTTACTCAGAATGTAAATTTAGATTTTTAGTTATGTAAAATAACATCCATTTATTTGATTTATTATTGCAGTTCCAGAAAGGTTGAAGAGGATGAATATGAAGATGGAACAACCAACCAAAAATGGGTTTTAGCTCCAAAAACACAAGACACAGATGTGACCTTGATACTAAACAAGCTGTTGAGAGAGTATGACAAAAAACTACGGCCAGATATTGGATGTAAGTACTCCCTTCTGCACACAGAGGAAAAGTATCTATAGAGAAGACACTGTATTACAGTTTGGTTATATATTTGGGAAAGTGGAGATTAATTGTCTTTGGCTCAAGTTCATTTCCAGGTCAGCATTTTCTAAATGCTAGTTCTCATGGGAAGATGTGGAGGTAATTTGTCATGCTAAACTCTATTTTGCATGCATAGTTTGTGCAGCGATATGGAAAGACTAGTTCGAGGTCTTTGGCAGGAGAGCAAACATACTTTGAATCATAGAATCATAGAATCATAGAATCATAGAATGATTTGCTCTTCTGTCATCCAATACAGATCCAATACAGGAGTATGGAAAACTCAAGCCACAGGTTCTGAGGAGTGACAGAAAAAACTGAGTGTATTAAAAACCAAAAAGTAGGACATGGCAAGAGAAGAATGTGCATCTACTCCCTGTAAAGTGTGATCACAAAAGTTACATTCCTCAGTGCTTATAGAAAGGCACTTAGACTTGTTTTTGTAAATAAGGCAACTCTAGATTTTTTTTTTACCCTCCCAATCCAGAAAACACTCTATCTCCAAATAAACCTGACAGAATGAAGCGCCTCATGTGCAACACTAATACATACAGGGATATATTTAGATATGAGGTAGTAGATATCTGCGTAGATCAGAGTGGCTTTAGCACAACTGCCGTTCCGTTTGATCACATACAGTTTGTATGACAGAAACCAGAGGTAATTTATAATTTACGCTAATTGCACCTTCTTGCATACATTTCAGAATAAACAGGGATCAGAGAATGCTGAAAACAGCCACCTCAGATAACTTGCCATTGCTAATTTTTAACAAAGAGATTAGAGAGAATTTCTGCCACTGATTAAAACTGAAACCACTATTTGGTGATTGCACGCATATTGATATACTTTGTAAGTCATCCCTTTGGGTGAGTGTAGATGGAAGTAAGAGCCTTCTGTAGATATTCCTCATTTGAATTATTTTTGCACAAGAATTCCAGACAAAGAAAAAAAAAAAACAAAACCCAAAACTATACCACACTGTGAAAGAAAGGAGCTTAAATTTTATTTCATAGCTATTAATTTATTTTCCTGTAGTATTTAAAAAGATCATATTTGACTGGTGTCTTTATTTCCAATGCAGACTGACATGTATGTTTTTCATACTGGATCTTGAATATCTGGTGGAGAAGTGCTTTAATGCAGTTCCCCCACCCATATCAACATCTGGAAGACGTTCTCAGATAATTATTTTATTTTATTTTATTTTATTTTATTTTGTACACTGTGTCCTCATATCACTGTCTTCAGGCAGAGTAAATTATGTTATGCCTATGTGGGACAAAGTAATCATTCAAAGTCCCCATGTCAGTTGCCATAAAATTACAGAGGTCAGACGTATCCTGCAGCACTGGAAAATCGTTGTCACTGAAATAATTCCTTTTGTCTCTCCACAAAATTTCATAAATTCTGTTGTAGTGAAGAGAGTTAAATTACATAGTTCTTCATATATAGTACCAAACAGACTTTACAGTTCTTGACTACTTCCTATCTGTTTCAATTAAGGTATCAGTCCAATGCCATTTTTCTCTTTGACAGGAATCTGGTTATTTCTGAACTTGTGCTGAGCATTGTTCAGATGCTAGAGAAGTTACTTCACCTCCTGTCTTCCTTCCCTGGTCCCTTTTCCCTCCTCCTACCTTTGATGTAGATAAACAACATTGCCCTTTTGAAGCTAAGGAGCTGCCTCATTTGTCAAGGAGAACACCATGGGAATGTTAGAGAATCAGGCGTTATTCCCTGAATTGCCAGCTGGTTACTCACACACAATCATACCTTCCTTTCTGTCTGAGAGAAGTTATCCTCCAGGTTAGATGATGGTCTTGTCTTGGCAACAGAACAGTGTCCATGCCGCAAAGATCCCAGTATCAATATGTTATCAGTTAAAGGGATATTAACAGAAGCAATAGGCACAGAGCATGTAGTAAGAAAATGCATGTTTTTTTGAATTTATAAAAAGCATGGAATGGACCAGTGGAGGAAGAGAGAAGTAACTTTCAGAATCAAACAGAAATGCAGCCTGTAAAGGACAGTGGGGGCTAAATCTTGGTCTAACATGCAATCAGCTACTCATTACAGGCAGCACTTGCATTGCAATTTAAATCCATAAACAAATCTGCTGTCCCACAGGATAGAGAACTCACCATTTCATGCCACATTACTCTTCCCTCAGTTACCTGAGTGCACTGTTTCTGATATCGGTTAAGTTTAGCAGGCCTTCTTTCTGAACGTAGTCAGAAAAACCTAAAAAAATTATGTACTTCTCTGGACTTTCACAGTTTAGGATTGCAGTTTTTAAGTGACTTGGGAACATGCTTTTGTAAGCCAAAGGCCATGGGTAGAGAAAAACTTTGACAAATGAAAATGCATGCTGGCCCTGGCAGTGACTTCTCTGCAGTCTTACATCCTTCCCAGGGAAACAAATGCTCTGGCTAGCTCGGTTAAGTCCAGGCGCTATCTATCACTGTACAGGACTATTATGAGTGCCCACTTGGCCTACCATGAGCACAGAGTATATCAGTGTTATATTATCTCCAGGCCATTAGTGAATGGAGTCCTGTGAACAGACCCTCAGCCATTCTTCTTCCTCCTGCCCAACCCAGCCCATTTAAACCACTGTAAAGAGTGTGTAGGTCAATGCTGAGAAGCCAGAATAGAGCTTGCTCTCTTCAGAAAAGGAATATCTTCCAATACACTTGGACTTGGTTTTCATATCAATGAGTGTTGGTCAGAATATATGCAGAGATTTATGTTCAGCTGGTAGCACTGGGCAGTACATGCATCATCTTCAAACTTTCAGGACTGGATTTTGAAGGAGAGATTGAACAGCCCAAGTATTAGGTGAAGTAGTTTCACTGTGAAGGATATCAGCTATCTGACACATTAAACACATCTAGGTAAAAGGAGCCTTCAGTCTTCAGACATGAAATTAGTTTTCCACCAGCAGGGGAATGTCTAACTGCATCCACCTTGGGAACACACTTGTCAGAGTTCTCATCTTCATAACTATCAGAACATAGGAAAATTTTCATTATAAGAATAGCATCTGGTGGTATACCAATAAAACACAGAATGTATGTGCCTTTTGGAACTGAGGGGAAGGAAAGGGAAAATACTTCACACTGAAGAGATTACACTGGTATACTGATTAAAAAGAAGAATGTTTTATGGAGACAAAGTATCTTAGCATGATTGTCAGCCACTTTTTACCAGTTAGAATTATAGGGCTGACAGTTGTGGCTTTGTTGCATGGTATAAAAGGAGCCAGACCAGCATAGCAGGTAATCCATTCTGAACTGTGAAGGCATTACCATCGCTTCCTTATGTGGAAGATAATATGCAACCTTCTTTTCTTTTTCCTTCATTTATTGTGAAATTATACAAACAACCTATCAAAAGAGTTAGCAGATAAGAGATTCTGCTAGTGATACTAGTAGGAAAAAAACCCTCTCTCCAAACCAGACTTAAGATGCAGTGTTCAATTGGAGCATGAAGAACATTATGTCTGAGGAGCTGCCTTTCAGTGGCTAGTTTGCTTAGCTCAGGAGAATGATCTTATTTCATTTTGTTCGCTCAGAAGCACTAACTAATGTTGTACAAAATTTATGTTGTGACAAGTCAATAGTAATATTAATAGTCATTCATAACCTGAACTAAACTTTGAGTTCCCATCTTAAACTCAACCTGCTAATTTCCAAAGAACACAACCTTTCCATAAGCATCTTTAGCAAGGAGTCACTTACTTCAGCACATTTGATTTCAGTGAAAAGGATATTCTTAAACTAACCCTGCAGTCTGATCAAGTGCTCTTCAGCCTTCTGGCAATTACCTGTGCTTTTCCCCAGCTTCTGAAATACCTTTCTGTCTTAGTTTCAGCTGAGATGGAATTTTTTTCTTTAAAGTGTCTGATATGATGCTATGTTTTGGTTCTAGGAGAAAAACAAGGTTGATAACACACTGATATTAATAGTTGCTGCTAAGCAGTGTTGTATAGAGACAAGGCCATTTCAGAGTCTTGACTCATACTAACAAAGGACTGGGAAGGGACAGAATTAGGATGGCTGACTTAGACTGGCCAAGAGGATATTCCATACCATTTGACATCATGTGGAAGGAGAATTTTGAAGTGAGTGGGAGTTCATCTCACTCTCTTCTGCTCGCTGGGGACTAGTTGGGCATTGGTCAGTAGTGATCAATTGCTTGTGCATCACTTGCTATATACTTTCACTTATATATAGAGAGATAATTATTCTTTTCCTTTTCTCTGTCTTAGTAAATAGTTTTATCTCAACCCAAAAGTTTTGTTCTTTTTTTAATTCTCTCTTCCATCCTGCTGGGAAAGGGTTAAACCACAACAGTCATTTTGGTGCACTATGTGGGTCACAAAGGGTTGAGATAACAGCAGATCTGACTGGAGTGTGTTAACATGGGGTGTTAAGATGGTTTGATAATTGCTGGTCATTATGCTAATTTTTTTCACTATTAATAAAGCTTTTTGAGACAGGGAAGGACATAGTCCAGCAGATCCTCAGCCTCCCTTTTTCTTTTACATTTATGTCTTTCTCTAGACTAGTTACAGTAGGTCTTGGGAATTTTGAATATCCTTGGGATATTCAAGCCAGTGCGCTTTTATTGTTATGTATCATGAATGTATTCCAGGTTACGTTTAAGATTAAACAATTATTCAAGAATATCACCCAGGGATCTGTCTCGAGGCAGGAGAGTAACGAATGGCAGGGGGTATGTGATGGTACAGGCAGGTGCCTACAGCAATGTGCTCTCCTACTGATTTGAAATTTTACCTCTGAATAACTGCAGAATGCTGAAAAACTAGTGGAATAGGTGGAAAAGGTCTGAGGTAGCAAACCTTCTAGACTTTATAGAGAGGCACAAATCACTGCAGCGTGCTGGGGCCTGGCCTCTGCCTACCCAGCTCT